AGGGGAGGTGGTGGGGAACAGAGAAGGGAGTGGGGGGTTACTAGTGGCTGCACCCCACTGCCATTGTGGACGCCACCACAGTCATGGGCCCTGGCCCTGGCCCAAAGTGGCAGGGGGGAGGGGGGAAACAGTCCTGGCCCCAACCCTGACCCAAAACAGCGGGGTGGGGGGAGGGTGAGAACAGGAATGGCTCGGCTCCAGCCACGAGCAGTTGGGGGGAGTGGCCCTGGCCCTGGTTCAAAGTGGCAGGGGTGGGGGGAAAATGGCCCTGGCTCTGGCCCCAGTGCTGGCCCCAGCCCCAGCCCCAGCCCAAAGCAGCAGGGTGGAGGTGGGGAATGGCCCTGGCCCCAACCTGAAGTGGCAGGGGGAGCTGAGGAGCAGCCCTAGCCCCGACCCAAAGTCGGGGGGGGAGGAATGCCCTGGCCCTAGTTTGAAGCAGCAGAGTTGGGGGGGGCAGTGAATGGCCCCAGATCTGGGCTGATGCCCTTTCCCCCTCCCCCCATCATTATTGATGGGCAATTGTCTAGTATATATATAATGACAAACAGGGGACAAAGTGTATATATTTACTGCTTGTGTGGATTTTGGATAAGCTATGAGGAGCTGAGTAGTTCAAATGATAAATTTCAAATGTAACACTAACAGTAGCATGAGAAAGGGGAGGTGAGTGGAGCACTCGCCCTGGGCACCAACTTGAGGGGGGGGCACAAAAGATACCAGACACCAGGCTGCTGGCCTGGCCTGTACTACTAGCCTGGCTGCAGCTGGTGCCCTGTGTGTCACTGCTGCCCAAGGCACAGAATGGCCCAGTTATGTCTCTGAACAGCAATCTGAATTTCTAATCTGGTCTAAATTAAATGATGGGAGTGTCTAGGAAGTTCAGTCTAGCTTGCAGAGCCAGACCAAAGCATATGGAAAACAAGATACATAACCCAAAACCTATCAGCATAGAGGGGGGACAAAGTATTGCCAACTGTGAGACATAGAGACTGAATCCAAAAAACCACCTGACCAGACATACAGAGCAATGAACGGTGTAAACTCTGCTGCCTTTAAAAGTGCAGAAAGACATCTCCTGTACTATCTTCTTTTTTTTAACAAAGAGCAGAACTGAGCTTCTACTGTTTTAATGTAAATTTAAATACAAAATACAGTCTTTCTGACTTTTTGCTATGAAATATACCAGATCAAGGTTTTGAGGATTGTCACATCCATGTATCAGGATACCGTTTAACAGCTACATCTATAATGGAGCTTGCCTACCCCCACCTTACTTATGCTACTGTTGGTGTTATATTAGAAATATATTCTTTGAACTGATCAGCTCCTCATAGCTTATCCAAAATACATATGACCAGTAAATATATACACTTTGTTCCTTGCTTGTCATAGATATTTCCTGACTGATGCAAAGAAAAATGTATATAAGCCAAATTAAAATATATTTTAATGAAATATACTTTTCACCATTTCTCCTTTTCCAATATATATTCACTATTCTGTCACACACAGTTTTGAAACAATTTTATAAATATATTATTTTCCACATATTTTTATAACACTGATTTGTACCGCTTTATACTTAATTCCTTAGTGAATTAAGTTTATTCAGACCTGTCACAGAAAAAAAATGGAGACTGGTGAAATTCTGGCCCCAGTGAAGTCAACAGGAGTTTTGTCATTGATTACAGTAAAGTTGGGATTTCATCAAGTATGTGGGTGAGCATAAAGACTTTATTAATTTATGAATCCATATGGCTAAATTCTGCTCTTGTATAAACAGATTTAACTCAAGCAGAATTTGGCCCCATATCTACTAAGGAGAGTCACAGCTTAAAAAGCTATTGTTTACGCTGTATTTTAAACAGTATAAAGGCTGAGGCAAGCAGACAGCTCTGGATATACTATGAATGCAATGGGATCATCTGGGTTGATTATTACAGAAATGTTTTGGAATATGTTACTCTGGAAAAATGCTCTAGGATCTTCTGTTTTCCAACAGAAGCATACCAAGAACAAAAGTACAGAGCTAAACACCACTCAGGGTCAACCTCAAGCCACTCTCTGGGACCTTTGAAAGGTCCAGCTTTTCAGAAAAAAGGAGGCAAAACTCTGATGCTGTAAACATTTTGGGCAGAAAACGTATCAAGCTGTATAAATACATACTATTTCTTGGTATTATGCAAGTGTGCATCTGAGATCAAGCTGACCATTAAAGAAGTATATGTAAAAATGTCAGCAAAGCACTATCATGTAGCAGTTCTCCTGCAGAAACAGAAATATTTCTGTATGAGTTATATTTTTCTAAAAAGCACTTGCATAGAACTAGCTGTATAACAATATATGGGTTTTTTGGCTTTGACTTTCCATTTTAACCCACTATCTCCTCATAAATATTCCTGGGAAACAAACCAAACTTACTGGAAGTTTTAGTCTCTGATGAAAAAGCCATACATATCTTTTCATGTCATCCTAGTTCATCTCAATCCCCAGTGCCTGCTCAGCCATACCGTCTGTTAGTGTCAATCAGTTGGTTCCACACTGGGTACCAGCAGGCAACTTCACACAGAGGATCAGCGGGCAGGCACCAGCAAATAGACTAGGACAATGGAGACACCAGAAACTGGGAAAAACCACCAGAACTGGGATTTTTAGATTCAGTTTCAAGCCCAGCCCTGCTTTCTTCATGTGTTCAAACCTCCAGTGGAATCATGGAAGTTCTGGGAGATTTAGGGATGCGCACTGCCTCATCTCTGACCTAGCCTCTTAGCCTGCCACCACTTACCCTATTTAGGATTCAGTACCATAGTATACCCAACTGCCTTCAGCTTCCTCCTCTCCAGCTCTGACAATACACCTACCCTTAATGTCCCTTTAATGATGGTTTCTCTTGAAACCATCCCAGGCCCTTTTTCACACCATCCCCCAAATACTCATGAAATAGTCTTCTCCTCAAGCCAATACAACCCATGGACTTCCTTCAGTTCAATCCCTCCTTCAGATTCCATCCATCAGGGAGACTTGCAATGAGTCAGTACTAGTCTTTTTTTAATAAGAAAAGAAAAGAAAGGCATTTTAACTATAAAGAGATGCATAGGCTTAAATTATATGACTGTCTGCTCTTAGTATCCCACCTCACCCTTCCTTGTATCATCCAGCCCTTATTATTTGTTACCTCTACTCATGTCTATCCTAAAAGCAGAAAATAAAGGCTCTGGGACATGAAGCATGTGTCGCTAGGGTGGTCTGAAGCATCTAGCATAGTGCTGTTAAAATGATAGACAAATTAAACGACAATAGCAGACTGACCAGGAAAAACAGAAGTCTTAATTGTAATTCATTTAAATACTAGCTTTAAAAGCAACCCCTCTCAGACATTAGGAACTCCACTAACTCCAGGGAGGACATAGTAGTTTAACTGAGATCAGGAGGGAGCCGGTTAGAGTAAACACATGCCACCTTCAGTAGAAACCAAAAGAGTAGGCAACATTGCTTGCTCTCTCTTCACATGAGTCCATGCCTGATATTCCCATGGCTTCACCGGCACCATCATTAATGAATATGGCCACTGGAGTAGCAGTGGAAGAAGCCACCCAATAATTTGTAAAGTGAATTGAAACACAGTTCTCTGATCTAAACTGATCAAGGGAAACCTGAGTTTATCTGCTTCCCTTACTCTGCTGGCTTGGCCAAATTAAAACACCTCTTTGCCTTCTTATCCCACTATTTATATTATTGTTATTTTTCAGTTTTCCACCTGTTCAGCAGAAATGCAGATGGCTAAAAATCAACATTTTCTTGGTTTCAATATTTGAAGGGAAACATCTCTTTATCAGCACAAGATGCATTAACCCTTAAAACGTTTCCACTGTAAAAATAGTTTCAAAGTCTTGAAATGATTTGCCTTGGATTTTGGTTATTATTTCCTGAGAAATGTTCAGTTGCTGTCATTTTGCTGAAAAGTCACTTGACATTTTAGTGATACACACTTATTTCATAAAAACAACCATCACTGGCTTAAAAGTATTCAGCTAGTACCATGATTATTTTCTGTTTAGTAACGACTGTAAGTCCTGTTCCTGACTTTACTTCTCTCCACCCCTATTGTTCAAGTTTAATACTAATCTGTTTGTTTTCCCTGAAATGACTCAATGCATATTACAAATGACACACTACACAAAAGGAAGTTTATACTCTTGTGGTCATGGCATTTGTGTATACAAGTGCTAACTACAAGTATGGGAAGTGTGCACAATATCATTAAGAGAAAAACAGAAATCCCTCAACCCGGTCCTGTCCTTTCTTCCCTCCCTCTCCCCAAATCTAACAATTGTTTGTGTTCCAGGCAGTTTGAAAACAAGTGGTTAGCTGTGCTCCACAAACCCTGGCAGCTCCATTCCAGTGTGTACATTAAGTACTCCAGCCTTTTCCAGAACAAAGGCAGGGTGAGCATCCTCAGTAAATTTGTGCCTGATGGAGAACAGCACAAGTCCTCTCTCTGCATTGAAGAATAAAAGTCTCCCAACATCATAATCCAGCAGAATGCCAACCCTGGCTGGTGGTTCTGTCACATGAATGGTACTCATTATACCATTGTGGAAGAATTTATAGACGAAACTGTAAGTAACAGAAAATAGAAATATAATGAGAATCCATGCTACAGATTACTGGAAATAACCTGCTATCATTGTTATTGTCTAGCCCTTAAAAATTGCTGTCACTTGTACAACCCTTTATAAAGTGGGCCTTTGTCAAGTATGAAACCTTGCTACACTATATGTGCTATATACTGACCTCTATGCCAATGAACCTTTTCATTAGTCATGCAGCATCTCAGAACTATCTTTCAATAAAGAAAAAATACTTTCAATTAAAAAAAAATCAATGCCTCCTATATTATTTCATGATTGTCAAGGCCAGTTATGATTTAATGAGGACTTCAGAGAGCTTAGTGCATCATGTGATCAATCCCCGGTTTTTTTCAAATATACCATTTAGCTACCTGCTGTCCAGAGTCAAGATTAAATAAAAACTATACTATCCAAAGGCATCAGTGTTTTTACATGAATAGCATGGTTATGTCCTTTAAAGCACTAAGTGGTCTGGGGCTGGCCTATCTGAGGGACAGCCACTCTGTTCATGCCACAGCTACTGGTACCCTCAGTCTGGTTTCCCTTTATTATAGAAGACCAGAGATGTAACAACCAGGATCTCTATCCTGGGTGGCTGTGGCAGTAGCAGGGGACAGGCTGACTGCCATGGTTGGGCTGGCAGCAGCTGCAACTGCCATTCTTTTGCTTCTCTAAGCAGGTGCTGAGACCCCAGTTGCCCAGCACTCATTATGGTACTGTACAAGTAAGAGGCACCTGCCAGGGCTTTCTCTGTGGAAAGAGAGAGAGTGGAAATTATTCCCCCTTCCAGGACTAAAGTAGCCTGAAGTTTGTGGCCAGAATGCTCCTACAGCCATTTTGGGAGCACTGGGGATTATATTCCCAAAATAATAAGGGACCAGGAAAGGAGCCTTTTTGTATCTGTTCAGCTGGCTGGATACACTGAGTTGTGTTCACTTGTTCCTGCTGAATGTTTGCTTTCTGATGCTAATTGGTCACGCTATGATATGAACTATTCAGCTTCCAGTTGCCTAGCTCTTCTGTATAAGGATTTTTTTTCATAATCGCTTAAATGTAATGAAATAGAAACAAACGTGTCTTGCCGTATATCGTAAGTAATAAGCCTTGCCATTCAAGTAAAGGGCACAAAACTTCACAAGCACCTTGGCCAACTCAGCTTTACCTCATGTGAGTAGAACAGCAACATATGCACCAAGACGAGTCACTCAGGCCCAGGATGCTGCCTCGGGGTGTGGAGCCATAGCAGATTCCAATCCTGTAGCTACTGCAGGCGCTGGTAGTGGTTTCCCAGTAATGGAGGCCCCGAGCTGGCAGCAGCTCACCCAGCACAGATGGAATCCTATTGGCGGAGAGCAGAAGGCAAAACTAGTACTGCAGCACATCTACTGCATGATGTCATGCTTTTGTTGTTGTTTATGGTCATTTTCAGTTTGTTGGGAAAATGACTTCATTCTCCTCACTCAAAATTTTCACCATAACAGGCCTTAGCGACTCTCAGCAAAAAATAAGTGTGACATTATTTGCACATTGAGGCAGGCAGACTGTTCAGAATTTAAAACTATTAAACATTATTCCAAGTGATATGACATCCAGTAAGAGATTCTCAAGGAGGGAGGATAACATTTTCAAGAATGTCTAAGTGATTTTGGAGAAAGCCTGTTCTCTGAAATTACCTAGAGACTAAGGACTCGTCTATACTAGGAAGTATTGCCACTAACTATCCTATAATGGCAAAATCCTCTGGTTCAGGCACAGCTATAACACTGTGCTGGTGCTTACACCAGTATTGTTTTTTTTCCAGTTTGAGAAGTAAAACAAGCTGTGTTGCTACCTAAACAGCTGTTCTTGAGGCATGGTCAGGGTTGAGACATACAAGAAGAGACAAAAGCTCCACTCTATAAAGAATATGTATTAAGAGATAAACATAGTGCACTAACAAGCAATGTATTAATGATCTTGCTAAGTGGATGCTCTGTCTCAGAAAGTGTTGATCAGACAGCCCTTAGGGTCCATGGGACAGCATATCACCTCAGCGGTCTTGAAAGTATGTCCAACCACTTTCTCTACACTCTTACCTTTATTAGCTTATCTACTCTAATGCTTAAACATGCTTTATGATAATTTTCCTATACCTATCGGCTTAAAACTCTACTTTCACACTCCCAATTACATTTCACTTATGCCCATACAAGGTGATGTTTGTTACATCTCTTTCTTTGCAAAACAGGATTACAAATTTTCATCCAAATTTAGCCATCACAAAGTTTTAACCAGGCCTGCAAAGCTAGAGCAAAATTACTGATAAGCTCAGCTTTTCTAATTCACTAGAGCCTTAATAAGCTTCTGCAATGTAATGATGAACTCAGCCTTTAATAATCTTTGCTGTGGAGAAGGGTGGAGACATGGAAAATGTGATCAGATGCTGACTGCAGCTTTTCGGCCTACAGTATCCATGACACCGGTATATCTGGGGATCCACTCAATGGCTGATATCAAAGTAACTGTAAAAGGGGGGGAAATGGCATTCCTCACTGACATAGCTACCCTAGTGCAATTTTTCTAATGTAGATAAGCGCTTAAAAGTCAATATGAGAATAAGGCTGAAGTTTGGTCTATACTACAAAGTTTTGTCAGCATAGCTTTGTCAGCAAAACCTCAATATGGATGGAACAGAATAACTTCTGCTGACTTAGCTATGATCATTCTGGTAAAGGGGAGACAACTATGCCAGACGAAAAACCCCTTCAGCTGGCATGAGCCCTATCTCCAAAGAGGGTCTCTGCTAATGTAGCAGTAGCAGCTCACATGTTTTAGGCTTAGATATAACTTAGGAACTTTTGATAATATTATCCACAGTGCCTTCCAGCAGGGAAGCAAACTAAGATGTCCATTCATTTCTAACTATGGTAAGAATAGTTCTTCTTAGGGCAAGAACAATGTTTAAGGTAGATGTCCTGAAGACCACGGACAAGAGCAGAGCCAATCAGGTAACTTCTTTTGTGACCTGCTAGCAGTTTGATTTGCCATGGAGTTCTCTCAGCACAGCCTTAAATTCCTTGCAACATTAAAAAATGTACCACCATTACCGACATTGGTATTTACTATTTTCTCCTTAGTGTGTCCTCAGCGGATAATCCAGACAGGTTTGCTTAATGTGAGGTTATAATAGGTTTTGTCAGTTTTCCACCTTTGTCTCTCCCAGCATTAAAAACCACAATATAATATTTTTAAAATATATATTTTGTCAGAAACTATACCCCAGTCCCCCATGCACCAGAGGTCTTCTAAGATTCTGTGCTGAAGCGTAGAGACTGGGGGCTTGATATATTGAAATGAGCTTGATACTTTAACTTTGTATTTCTATGAGCCATGAACACAGTCATGGGTAATAAAAACAGCCTTCAGCCTGCTTCAGCTTACACCAGACTGCAGTAGAAGAACAAAAGAATGGCTTATGCCAGATGAACCAGAAAACCTGGCCCATTTCCTCCTGTGTTCAGACAGTGGCTAGCACATTGTCAGTGCCTCCAGACTGGCAATTAATAAATATTACACAACAAACAACAGCAAGAATGATTTTTTCTGAATCTATTTCCCCAGTTTCAATATTTGTGTGGTAGAGCAGCCAGGAAAGCTTGCTGAACATGCCGAATGATTTATTAGAGGGTTTAAAAAAAATCAAATGTCATAAGCACATACAGTCTGAGACTGGTGCTTCTTGCTGTGGCACAAAGGAGTCTCATTCAGGGGATGCAGTTGTGATGGTTTTACTGCACAGCAGAGCTAAAATCATTCAGTGCCTAAAAGTGAACTGTCACAGGCAGAATGAGGCAGAGTCTTGCTCTCAGCTACAGAGACCTTCCACTCACTCCAGCAGCAGTTCAAGTCCTGCCTTCTTTTTTCTCTTCTTTTTTCTTCAAGGAACACACCTTGGTCCTGTTCCTTCTGAATTTGTCATAGGGTTACTATGAGGTTGGGCCTGGAGTAAAGTGTACTCCCTGAGCAGTCTCATTAAAAGGCAGTGAAAGTGATTCCAACAGTAGAGCTTTTTCAAGAGAAGGAGCTCATTTCCTTAGGCAGATCCATCAAGTAAATGTAGTTTCCTTTTTTAATTCCTAGATCAACAGTTCTGAGGATCCATTGGTTGGCTGCAGGACCGGTTTATGCTGCCAGCCGTGTTTAAGGCATTATATTAGATGGCCTTGACCCCCATAAAATGCTCAAGCAGGGGTGTGGTTGAATTAAACTGTGCAGAACGACATGTGGAAATGTCAAAGAGACTTGTGCCCTGTATAAAATAATCTCAACAGCATCATAGAAAACCTGACATCATTTGAAACTTATCTTTGTGTGCGTACACTAGTAGAGGTATAATTCCTTCATCCTCCCATAGAAGTTTTGTCTGAATACAGAAAGTAACCCATGATCTTCCATATCAATTCCTCACTTACAGCTAAGTAAAGACAAAGTTCAGTATTGCCATTTGATTAAACATTTTCCACCCACTTGGTGCAAGGAAAACTCTTTTTGTGAAAAATAATAGGAATGGGTTGTCCAAATTCAATTTTTATACTGCTTTCATCAAACCAGTAGAAAAACTGGGTTAGTTAAAGTGCTGCAGTGATACACAATAGGGCTGCTCAACCCACACCTGAGTCTAAATCTGACTTGTTCAGCTGTGTTGTCTGGCTCACGGACTCTCCGCAGTTCCAAAACTTTGGCAGTGGAGGACCATTGGTAGTTAGTGTTAATTTGTGGTCCCCTGCTGCCAAAAGTCCAGACTCATGGGGAGCTCTGCAGGCTGGATAACATGACTCCATGGGCTAGATTGCAGGGTTGGACCAGCACAGGTCTAACCAGCGCAGAGCCCGATTTGGGCATATGAGGCTGAAGCTGGCTGCCATGAGGCCCAATCCAGGTGTGAAGGGCTGGAACCAGCCAGCATAGGGCCAATCTGGGCTTGCAGGGACTGATCTGGGTATACAGAGCCAGATATGGCCAGCACAAAGCCAGTCTGGGCTTGTGGGTCCTGGCTGGTGTGGGGCCTGATCTGGGCTGAAGAGACTCAACCCAGCCAGCAGGGGATTGGACCCAGGCATGCAGAGTCTGATCTACCCAGCATGGCGCCTGATCTGCAGGGCCCAATCCAAGCTCACAGGGCTAGAACTGGCAGTGCAGGTCCCAATCAGGGCGTGGGGAGCTGGATGATTGACCCCTGCAAACTAACCCCATGCCTCTCATCCATCCCACTGATGGGCACCACTCAGTGCTGGATTTAGGTTTAAACTACTTAAACTACAGCTTAGGGCCTCACAATATGAGGGGCCTCTAAATAAGAAAAAAACCTGATTCAATATCAAGTTGTATAATAATCAGTTGGCAAATAAACGAGATATGGGAAAATGACGCTCTAAATATTGACATTTTCATTCTAATATGACAAAAATATACATATATATGGCTTCACAGTTATTATTCATATTGAGTTAATCAATTTGTTCAGAAATAACCATAATTCATCTTAAAATTTCATGAAAATCCATTTTCGTGGATTTCGTGGATTATTTTTATTGTATGGGGCCTCTTAAGATGGACATAGTCATAATCTGGCACTGACACCACTGATCCAGAGGGCAGACAGTCACATAACATGAGGGGTTGTACCAATTCAACTAAACCCACTCTTCTACAATTTCAGTTCAATTAGTGTAAAAAATGTTTGTGGACTAAACAAAGTTTAGACCCAGTATTAAGACATCAAAACTTCCAAAGGTGGGATTCTGATACTTACCCAGTGAATTTAGTTTTCTTGGAAAGGCATATCACCATTTCATCAGACAACACCTGCAAAGCAGGATGAATGGTGTCACTGAGAAAGTGAAATCTAGTTCCTGTTGTGAAGAGAAACACCAGTTCAGAGATGATTGCAGTGTTCATTTTAAATGAATTACAAAATCCCTAACAATGTAACAATTATTCCAGCCTAAAACTGATTCAGTTCTGTTTGCTGGCAGGTAGGAGGAAGAACCTGAGTGCTGTACCCCTGAGCTGTATTAGCCTCTTCCTATACTCAATTAACATCAGATTCCTCCTCTTTTCATCCTGGGAGGAAATGTATGTTAGTACTAAGTCTTTAATCAGGACTATACCTGTATCAGCAGGTATCAGATTTCCCTGCTTCACCCTTTCACACAAACCAATATTACGTAGCAAGAAGAGTAGAAGCCACCAGTACTGACAATGAGTTTTAGTAGTTTCCAGTACTGCTAAAGAGATTTCACAAATGAGGACCCAGAGGTTTTCAACTTTAATAACTTTTTTTTTTTTTTTTACTTAACTAGTGTGATACAGTTCCCCCAAACTATAGCAGAATCTTAAATCTGGTGTAGCACATTCAAAAATATTTCCTGACTCTATATGAATCTGCCAGAAATGCAGAGGTAAACACAGAGACAAAAACAGAGACACCCAAGAAAATTGAAATACTGGATATGAGGTTTGTTGTTGTAATTATTCTCCAAATGTCTTTAGTAATCTTGTAGCCAAAATCCTTTCCAGTTGCAAGGGTAGTATTATGTCAAACAGGTCTGGGGTTGTAACAGAATAAAGCACTTCAACAAATTCACCATGCAACAGGAATTCCCCTGACATTAAAACCATTTGAAATGAATTATTTGCTAAACTGTTCTAGAGTTTCTGAGGCTTATTTGAACGAGTCTTTCATAACTTTTCCTGAAACATTAGAGCCAAATAGTAAAAAAATAAAAAAAATAAAAAAAAAATAAAAAAAATCGAACCACAGATTTTCAGCTGTGTTTCAGATGATTCTGTATAATGTGTGAATGAAATATTTTTTGGTATATGCTAAACCGGATAACGCCAAACCACACTCATGTAAGGTGCCTAAAAGGCTGAAATGTTTACTGTTACAACTCCTAAAATGACTTATGAGTGGACAGAGGGAATGAGTGCAGAAATATTGTTCATAGGAGCTCTCCATTCTCAGGGGAAATCGTACAAAACTAAAGAATGATTTTGAGATCACACCCATATTACTCTAGCATAAATCCATTCACTTCAGCTGAGTTATTTCCAATTTATATTAATGTAATCAGATCAGAATCAGGCTCATTATGCTTCCGTAAATTAGTTGCTTCTGAAAATCAAGGTTCAGTGTTAAACTGACATGATGCCATTTTTGAATGAACTGCACCTCCACACCATTGTTTTAATATCAAAAACTGTGGATCTACCTTTAGTTGAAATGAGGGCAGCTTCACTTTGTTCACTTGTCCCAAATGCATTGGCAGCTCTCACATAGAAGAAATAATTCACATTGGGCTGCAGGTAAACTTTCAGTTCAGGTCTTCTTATTCCAGCAAAAGATCTAAACATGTTCAACAAGTTTCATAAGTAAAAATGCATACTAACATCTACATCAGAAAATACCTATTTATACAAATTGTCAAGTTACTTTAGATACCTCATACTATCTTTGAATGTTCCAGTTGTAGGCACTGTAGAAAGACAGAGCTGGAATACAGTACTAGTAAATAGATGGACAGATCTTTCTTTTTTTAATTCAGATTATGTGGCGTTTCTTCAGTTGTACCTACAATTTTTACTTACTTTATTTGCTTCTTTATTGGATTATATTCTTTTAGATGACTAGATTCTGTGTTGCCTTGCACCTGTTACAGTCATTTAATCTATACAAATATCATTCTAAGTTAGGAGTATTTTACAGCCACTTTGTATTCACTTGCGCAGATCTAAGTGATTCTATCAGATGCACAGCAATGGAGACTCAGCCCTCCTGATTTTTGTTGGCTGCTAAATGAATGAGTTAATGAAGAAAAAGAACCTTTAATAAATGCAACTGCATGAAAGCAAGGAGACCAGAATGATTGTGGAGATCCCACTTGCAGAGTAAACACAGAAATGCATGCTTCTTTTATTGTGGGCTCTCATTTCCCAAATCATTCAACAATACAAATTGGGATTCTCCTCCCTTCCTGCACAGTGCACTTTAACTGCGCAGTATTAGGAGAGCTGTGGTTTGGCACAGCGTCCTAGATTAGCTGATCCTGCCCATTATAGTTCCTCAAAAGCTGCTGCCCTCACCTCCTCCACTACAGGCACTGCCATTATGCATTACCAGAAAACTTCTTCACAGATGCTGTGATGTTCTGCTGAAGGCACCACACATATCTACAGAAATGCAGACTTTACTTTATATTGTGCCAAAACTGAAATGGGCTTACTTTGCATTTACTCATTTCCTGGTTCCAGATTTTCAAAACCCCACATAAGGGGTGAGCTATAAAGAATATGCATATACCCACTCAATGCATGAAACCCAGTATCTGAGTGCTCAGTAAGCATCAACCTGCATAGTTTAAGTAATGTTGCCCACAAGTACCAGTTGGCATGTGCCACACAATTAGCCACCTTTCAAGTGTAAATGCAGGTGGTTATCTTCAAATGTCTGCCCCTTTGGGTAAAGCCTGCCCTCTCCTCCATGCGGGGAGAAGGCACCTGCAGTGGAACAACGTGCTTCTGTTGTACAAGGACAAGCAGGGGCTTTATTCTGCACAAGGCCCCTGTGTAGCAAATCCCGCGTGTGTGGAGAACAACCGAAGAGAGGAACTCCTTGGGCAGGTCCAGATGAGCATTCACGTGCGGTATGCAGCACCGCAGATCTATCTGCAGCACTGCACACCACACCTGCCACACATGTAGGCATTCCCTGCATTGCTAATTTGCAGTGCAGGGTGGGGTTTTGACACTGGGGGATCCCTGTGTCAAAAACACCCACCACCTGAAAAAAGCAGGGCAGCCCACGTGGTGGCAGCATGCACGGCCTGAAACGAGTTTGGCTAGCCAGAGCCACACTCTGGCTGCTGGCCAGGCTCTCTGCTGCCAGATTGCTGCTGCTGGAGCCCCGGGAAGCCCCCCAGATCCCAGTTAAGGCTTCTGGCGCCTCAAGTGCTGGGCCCAGCCTCCCCTATCCCACTCAGGACAACTTGCTGCCTACCAGAGTGCACTTGCATGGACTTTCCCCAGGGACAAGCAGCAGCAGCACATATGCTGCTGCTTTGTCCCTGGGGAAAAGCCTGTGCACGCTCATCTGGATACGCTGCTTTTGTCTGCCTGCTGTGAGAAGAGAAGTGTCCTGAGCAGGTCTCTTTAGCCACTGGACTGTCAAAACCTCCACAAAAAACTCTGAAGCTTTCCTGAAACATGGAAAAGTATTTCATCTACATACAGCCAAGGATTCCTCCTTAGCCTGGCAGTTACTACACAATTTCTCAGCACCCAGTCTGGTTATTAAGGCCAGATGCTAGAGCCTGAACTTGGAGCAGATCAAAATTTTCCTTCAATGGAAGCCAAGAGAAGATTCTTTACTTGGGACACTGTCAATTAGACCAGACTCCTTTCAGTACTGTAATACATGCCATTGAGCTGGAACTAGAGCACCTTTTCCACCACTAGTTTGCCTGATTGCATATTATGTCAGACAGGCAAGCCCTGTTCTCAAGTAAGACCACGGCTGTTGATTTACATAAACTGTTTTTCCCTCGATGCTCCACCAGAGAGCAATACAAACTGAAGAATGATCAGTGTTTGACAATTAGGATTTTTACATTCATGCTTCAGCCTTTTTTATCAGATATGCATAAAGTCCAGCAGTCCTCACACATTCCTGACTAAGGCAAACTCCAATTTTCTTCAAAGGGAGCTGCCTGTTGATAAGGAGTTCAGGACTGCCACCTACAGCAGTACCAGCTAATTTGTTTCAGTGGCTGCATCACAGTTTTTACAGTGGTGTTTGCCGTTTTAAAAAGTAAGAGAAAAATCAGTAAGTCCTTCAAAGTTGCTTCCAATCAGAAAAAAACTTCAAATAATTTGGAGTTCTTGTATTATCAGAACCTCTTTATAACCTTGTTAATGAATGAAGGATACTAATAAGCTAAGCTGAACTTGATGGAGAAGAGACCAATTGTTTTGTTACCAAGTACATGACCAAGACCTAGAGTCAATGAGGTATTTACGCCTGTATTTAACTTCAAGTCACAATGGTGTATGGTCACTGGAAGGAGGATGAATAAGGTGGTGGTCTTTTGACATGCAAGAGGAAAGAGGCTGGCCCAAGTATGGGGGAAACATGGAGAAAGGCATTATAAGAGTGTAAGATGAGAAGTGCTCAGAAGAGAGGCTGTGGAAGCCCAGATTCAGGGAGAAGGGGAGCTCAGGAAAGCCTGTAAGTAAATTCTCCAAACTTTCTAGCTTGAGCAAGTTAGGAGCTGGGGTACCCAGTTATATTAAAATGTTGTCCTGAGATCCCTGTATTTTTGGAGGTGAATTCATTTTTCACTGTTCTCCATTAAACAGTTCTGTAAAAACAAGTAAAGAATACTGGCAAGGGGGAGTTTTCCTCAGGCTCTTAAGAGTAATGAAATTAGGATATACTGAGGTACAAACAAAAATGGAAAAAACCCCCTCTATTGCACAGTAATCACTTCTGCAAAATGCCTTACTGTTTTCATTGGGAGATGCCACAATAATCACTGCCATCCATGAAAGTAGATCTCCTCTACTTTTGCATTGTAGATCAATTATTTGACATATCTTCGACATCTAATCAAGGGAAGTATAGTTGATTCTGAGTAGACCTAGAAACCCGCTGTAATGTCCCCTCTGTAGAACCAGAGACCCCAAATCCAGGAGTTCAGTTCATTATAGAGTAGCATCAGCCATCAAGTTTAGACTTGGACTTCTTCCAAGTGTGAGCATGTTCTAATACACTGTTTGGGTCCATCTTTACATTTGTAATGACAATATTTCACCTGCACCTCCAATTTAATTGCAGCACAAAGTCATCTGGCCTCTAAGCAGACCTACTCTGGAAAGCAGCGGTCAGATTTTCCAATAAATGTGCTGTTTTTAGTAATCTATTTTATCTAGCTTTAAGCTTCCTAAGAAAAAGAGCTCATAAATTTTAGCTGAGATTAAGGCTTAAAATAACAGTCCTGCTGGTACCAACTAATGAAACAGGATATGCCAACAAGATGGAATTTCGATGCAACACAGTTACTTTGAAGTAGCTCTAGACTCACAACAGGGTCTGCCCCAAAGAAAAAATCAGTCTCTCTGTGTTTCTGGTTTTATCTGGGTGCAAAGGGGGAGGAAAGCTGAGCTACTGAGGGCCCTAGTACCTTAATCAGTTCATTTAGTTGGTGGTGTTTAATGTTGGCTCTGCAATTGGAAATACAAGCTAAAAGTTTGATTATTGCTTAGCATATGGTGATATACAGCAGGCATATGGGAAGGGAAGATGTATTGCTACCATCCTGATTGTGCTAAGGACAATGCTTGCTTCGTTTTCGAGCCCCTGTAATAGGCACTGATGCTAGATCTTCCTTAAAGTAGTATAAGCTGTTGAACCATGTAATTTTCTGTCACAGAGGGAAGGGAAATCAATCTAAAGAAATATGCTGAGTGTTTTGCCATATAGTCCCTGTTTAAAATATGTCTGCCCACTTTGCTGATGATTGGAAATGTGGCAATGTTATTCTATTCTCAACTGATGAAACATCCTGGCCCTTTTCCAAAATGGTTTTATTTTTAGGTTTCACACTGTCCCTACAACACATTTGTAACACGATACAACATGCAAGGAACAAAAATTGAAAGAATGCAAGATGTCTGATTTTTTTTCATTTTCTTTTCCAGTCTTCCTCTTTAGAATGAGAAATTTATGAGTTTCAAAGCTGGACTCTCCATTTCATGCACTGTATCACTGTTTGAATTAGAGGAGGAAGGAGGCACATTAGCATTCACATTTAAATTGGTGAGCAAGGTTCTTGCACCTGAGTCTGACTGATGTGGTTCAATGCTTGTAAATTGCCTATCACATTAGAGATTTTCCTGATTACAGGGAAATCTTTTTTTTTTCCCTCCATGCCAATAATTTAAAGGAATTCTTTCTAATATAGCATAAGCCTAACATAGCGCATACCATTCAGAATGCCCTCAACATTGTAAATAGCTGTTTTCCCTTACAGTAATCCACCAGTGAAACCTTACATCTAGAGCTCTGCTGTCATCATTAATATTCAGCAGACTGGGCATGGTGAAAATAGAGAATGATTGTGTGGCTAAAGCAAAGGCCAGGGAATCAGATGATCTGAGTTCCATTTTCTGCTTTGCTGTGATCTCCAGAACTCATTATTTTCTCAGGTACCCCTGTCTTACAGTTTGACTTCAGAGGAGTTATACCTTAGTTACCCCAGCATAGCTGAAAGCAAAAATAAGCCCTTGGTGCATGCTTTCATGCAAATAACCTAGGACCACATTTTTAAAAATATCTCTCAATTAAGAAAC